AAGACAACGCAGTGGTGCGGGGCTCAGAGGCAGGGAAGACCCTAAACCCTAAACCCTAAACCCTAAAACCCTAAAACCCTAAAACCCTAAACCCCTAAACCCTAAACCCTCAACCCTAAACCCTAAAACCCTAAACCCTGAACCCTAAACCCTAAAACCCTAAAACCCTAAAACCCTAAACCCCTAAACCCTAAACCCTCAACCCCAAACCCTAAAACCCTAAACCCTGAACCCTAAACCCTATAAACCCTCTTCACAGATCATCTGTCTTAGGGTCAGGCCAGTCATCGCCGGTCCTCGACATTGCGCTAATGACGGAGTGCCTCACGACGTCTGCGGGCAAACTGCGGAATCCTACTCATTGCTTAAGAACCCAGAAAAAATGAACATATTCTTCCTTATTAAGGTTAAATACATGTGTATATGTATACATGTGTATATATATATATATATAAACAGGGGTTCTTATTTTTTATTTTTGGGTTCTTAAGCAAACAGTAGAATCGCGGGCAGGTGAGAAGTCTCGGAACCCTAATTAAACCCTAAACCCTAAACCCTAAACCCTAAACCCTACACCCTACACCAGCCAATCGGGTCAACATAGACTGGAGGGGCTTCAAGGAGTTGCGAAAGTCCAGCTTGGGGCACCTAGGGGTTTAGGGTTTAGGGTTTAGGGTTTAGGGCTTAGGGCTTAGGGTTGAGGGTTTAGGGCTCCCTGTGCCATAAGCTACAAAGTATAGTCCTTCACAAACGAAGACAGACAGGAACCGAAGCGGACCCAGGACCCCCATCGGCGATTCTGGGTAGTTTTCCGAAATAGGCTCCCTTTTTGCGTCCCCCGTAACATACGGCACCCTTAAAAGGGGACCTTGATTCAGAGAACTACCCTTTTTGGGGTTTCAAGTGCAAGGGCTGGCGGCCACAGGAGTGCAAGAGAGGGAAAAGGCCATGCTCTTCTCTGTGCCCCCGGCTCCGGCTTAATGCAAGGCGACACCCTAGATCTGACTGGGGTCTTAACCCCCAAAATCCCCAAAACATCTGGCAGCCGGACCCGCACTCCCATATCAGCCCTAAACCCTAAACCCATCCTGTTGCCACCAGTGTGGGGTAGCGGGGGGGGGGGGCTTAGAAGGGTACCCTTATATACCCGATAGAGGGCCCATACATCAGAATCCTTGAAACAGAGGTACGCGGCCCTTTGAAGGGCTCATGAAACTACCCTCATACTTCTGGGGCCATGCTTCTGGTGCTAGGCTTCTGGCGGGCTGCCCCCCGCAACCGCGGCTAAACCTCGGACTTGGGTTTTTGGGGCACTGTGTCTGAGGTCCTGAAGGCATATCTTCCCAAGAGGCCAATACACCTACCTCACCCTAAACCCTAAACCCCAAACACCTTAAAACCCTAAACTCTACCCTAAGGAGATCCGTGCCAGAGAAACTTCCCGGTTTTAGGGCTTAGGGTTTAGGGTTTAGGGCTTGGGAACTCCCAACCCTATTGAACCCGGATAGGAGACCCTGAACCCCCCCCCCAATTACCCCCTAAACTCGACTGTGCTTAAGAAATCTGGTAATGCTGGTTTCGGGCTTAGGGTTTTGTGATTGTTCTGCTGTTTCTTATAGGGATAGCATGAGATAGGACAGAATACCGTCAAGATACCCTAGGCCCTAATCTCTCTGGTTCTTAGTAGGAATAATTCGGGCCACACACACACACACACACACATATATATATATATATATATGTATATACATACATACATACATACCGTATACCCTTTCAGGGATTCTACAGGGCCGCAATTCCCTCATTCCCTACTAAGAACCAGCCAGAATCCCTAAGCCCTTAAACCCTAAACCATAACACCTATAACCTTTTTGCATCAGGACTTGCGCAATCGCCTGAATATTTGAGCCTAAACCTTAAAACCCTACTGGGAGGTTCATGGTACTTATTAACCAACTACAACTGTACCTATAACCCACCGATAAGCCCCTTAAGTGCCCTCATATGGTTATAAGTACAGTCATAAGTACAGTTATAATTGGTTACCCTAAACCCTAAACCCTAAACCCTAAACCCTAAACCCTAAACGAACACGTGTTATTGGTTAGTAAGTATCATGAGCCTCCAAGCAATCCCTTAGTAAGGTTGCCTGGACCGGGCCCAGGGCGTACTGCGGCCGTCGACCGCATGGCTGCGCGGAGGGCCCAGCCCTGACCGGTTTAGGGTTTAGGGTTTAGGGTTTAGGGTTTAGGGTTTAGGGTTTAGGGTTTCGCCCGCCAACATTAGGGCTTATAGGCTTCGGGTTGTCTAGGCTTTAGTGTCTTCGCTTCGGGGCTAGGGGTTTTCCGGTTTCTGCCTCACGACCTCAGGGCCGCGCACTGGGGTTTAGGGCATCCTTCTTTGGGGGCAGTCAAAGGGTCTTGGCTTGCCCTTTGGGGGGGGGTGAACCCTAAACCCTAAACTCTAAACCCCAAACCCTAAACCCTAAACCCTAAACCCTAAACCCTAAACCCTAAACTCCAAACCCTAAACCCGACTCTGCTGGCATGGGGTCTGCGATCGCAGTTCTCGGGTTCTTTCGGTCTGCGGTTGTGAGGTTCAGGGCTGAGAAGGATTGGGCCTGAGGGCAAGGCGGACTCGTTTATAGGGGAACCTGTATATACCCCTTTTTTTGGCTAACATAAAAACCCATAAAACCCATAATACACCCATAAAGCCCATAAGCCCATAAAAGCCATAAAACCCATAAAGCCCATAAGGCCCATGAAGCCACAAAGCCCATGAAGCCCGGGGGTCCTTCGGGTTCAGAACTTTTTCTGCCACGCGCCCGGCAGGGACTGGGGTTCAAGGGGTTTGGGCAACTGCACAAACACCCCCAAACCGTGAAAGTGCAACGCCTCCTGGACATTGTAAGGGTTTAGGATATAGGTCTGGAGAACTCAGGACTTCAGGATTTGGGTGCCAGCCTTAAGGAATATTCCCAAGTCAACTAGGCATAGGGGTCTCCGACCTTCCTCCCTAAACCCTGCAAACCCTAAACGAACCGGACGCGGTTGGAAAGACCCACCACAATAAGGACCCCAAACCCTAAACCCTAAACCCTGAAGCCCAGGCCTGGCTAGCAGCTCCCATCAGGGATGCTTCAGCAACAAGATGTCGTAGCGCATGCCACCTCTTCAGAATTCCATTCGGGTTGAGGGATTAGGGTTTAGGGTTTGATTCATGTGACTTGCAAAACAGCGGCAAGGTGGGTTGCTGTTAGAGGGGACCGGTCTGACAAGACCTTCAACCCCCCCCCCCCCCCCTCGTTTGGCTTGATGCTTGGAAGCTCTGAAAGCACGAGCTTCAAGCTACTTGGGGCCTCTTGCTCGGATTGGAACGGTTTGGGGTTTGGGGTTTGGGGTTTGGGGTTTGGGGTTTGGGGTTTGGGGTTTAGGGTTTAGGGTGCACTCGAAATTCTACATGCATGGGCGAACGGCGAGCGCCATCCATGTCGAACCCGGTTTCTGCGAAGGAATGGGTGTTTCTTGGGGACCAACTGAATCCTAGAATTCGGGGTGAGAACCCCCCGATCAGCCTTAGGTCAGCGCTTATAAGTGGGGCAAGTATGGCGCCATATTTAGAGCACCTTTAACCCCACTTATTAGTACCCATGACCTTCAAGTATAGTTCAAGATGCATGTGCGAGGCACGGGCCAACCTATGGGGACCGTACTTCTTTTTGCAGCCCCATGGACCCCCTTCAACCCGGACACTAAACCCTAAACCCTTTTGAACTCAGACTGGACTGCTACCCTAAACCCTGCCCTAAACCCTTTCTTGAACCCAGACTCTTTACGTCACCCTAAGCCCCAAACCCCAAACCCCAAACCCTAAACCCTAACCCTAACCCTGATCCCTAAACCCCAAGCATGCCCCCCGCGAGCCCAGCCCAAACGGCCCGCAGCTGAGACCATGGCTCGCTTCCCTCACTCCGCTTGCGAAAGAAGCCCTGGCGGGTTGGGGTTTAGGGTTTAGGGTTTAGGGCTTAGGGCTTAGGGCTTAGGGCTTAGGGCTTAGGGCTTAGGGCTTAGGGCTTACGATTACAAAAAAGAAGACACAACACAACATGCACGAAACAAATTCGTGCTTCAAACGCTTCTCAAACTAGGGTTTAGGGCTTGGGGGGGGGGGGGGTTTAAACCCTAGGTAGGGTTGAGAAGCGAAACAGAGTTGATACGGGTTGGGCGGCTTTGGGACTAGGGTTTAGGGTTTAGGTCCGTTTTTGTTGAATATGCCACGGACTGCTTAGCTTTCTGTGTAAACAATACTCCCACGCAACTCATACGCAGGGAACCCCAAACCCTAAACCCTAAACCCTAAATCCTAAACCCTAAACCCTGAACCCTACAATCCCATATAAACCCAAAACCCAAAGCCCTGAAAGGATCAACCTGCCAGTGGGAAGCGCAGGGGAGTTGCGTGCTGTGAGACCTCCCTGATCACCGTGGATCACAGGTGGACCTAAACCCTAAACCCTTAACCCTAAACCCTAAACACCCTTAAACCCTAAATCCGAAACCCTAAACATTATCGTGGTCCTTATTATAAGGGAGTCCTACAATTTGGGGGATTGTTTTGGGGGTCGCTTGTTGGCGTAAACGTCATAGGGTTAAGGGGTCGACTCTCGTAGCTTTTGCAGCGCAGGAGCAGGCAAGGCTTCAGAGATGTCAATCAGCGAGCGCCACAACACATTGGTCATGACCAGCTGAAAGAAAGAAAGGCAGAAAGAAGCCCTCACCCCCCCAAAGAACCTCCCAGCAGGATTGCGAACAGTCTACCACGAGCATCTACACCACTCACACGGACAGCTTTGGGGGAGCAGGGCATTCAAGCATCTATGGCTACCGAACACAATCGTCTCCTCCCTTCACCTATCATCTTCCAAAGCTCGATTTGCCTAGAACCGAAACCTTGAACCCGAAACCCTAAACCCTAAACAGCCTACTTCTTCGCTCCTACACCAGTTGGATCGGCAATTGACCTCGCAGATCCCGCTCTTGATCCCAGTTCGCCACGACGTCTCGCTTGCCGAAGTAGTCGAGCATGTAGCGACGCATCACCTCTTTGACCTGCTCCCCCTTAGTACCTTAATAAAAATTATTTTCGTTTTTGTTGTTTTTAATCCTCTTGGGTTTTATATGAACAAAAATAAAGAATAATTTCCAAGGGGGATATAGTGACCTGCTCCGGCATCATGCCAGGACGTCCATTGGGCTGTACCAGGTAGTGGTCGCTGGTGCCTGGATGGGATCCTGTCCGATCGATCTCGTACCAAGTATCCTCGACGTACACCAAGTTCATGCTGCGATACTCATGAACGTGGAGGCCCTTTGGTGGTGGAGGGGATTTCACTGTCATGCGCTTGGCGTGGAAATGATAGTTTGCGGCAGCGGGCTCTCCACCGTCGAACGGGTGCGGCGCGTGAAATTGCAAGGCCAACAGACCAGTGCTGCTTGCAAGGATGAGTGTAGGAGGGTCAGCCATTTGAACATAATCGCGAACACATGGCCACATGTTCTGCTCGATCGGTCGTATACCGGGATCCCTTGGAACGCGTGCATCTGACAGAATCTTTTCAATTGCCTCCTTTGCGCATCCCACGTGCGCATTCGCCATGGCGGCGGAATGGCCGTGTGGTTTCCGAGGGTGTGCTACAAATAGCCGACACATGCCTTGGTTCCCCAGTTCAGGATTTAGGGTTTAGAGGTTTTCTCCAGGAACCCCAAAGCTACTTGTTTGTAGGTTCATGTTGCCATGCCATGTATAGGATGCCGAGGCAACCTGCAAAGCCTAGATTCTGTTGCTACCTTAAGACCAGCACGCCACTCCTCCTGGGTTCAGGGTTTCCGGCTTAGGGCAATCTTCAAGTGTTTGTGCTCAATTGCGTCCGGTACATGCAGGGGTCGTATTTCCCCAACTCTAAACCCGAAACCCTAAACCCATGTTACCATGATCACTTGGATTACAATCCGATGGGCGCCTGATGAGGATGCAGCAGTCCCACTTGTGTCAGAGCCGCCTGTGGGAGAGCTGGCTTTTGAATTGGATTAACCCTGTAAACCTCCTGTAAACCCACATATGCACCGGCATACACGGACCGGCTTTCTCTCTACCCTCCGTGGTTGGTGGGGTTTAGAGTATAGGGCTTAGGGTTTAAGGTTGAAGGTTTTGGGTTAGGTTTTCCCCTCTCCCAATTCGGGTTTTAGGTTTCCCCTCTTCCTTCCTGTGGTTCGTGGTGGGAAAGCTTAGGGTTCTGGGTTTACAGTTGACCGCCAGGGTTTGGGGGAAGGGGGAGGTAAACCAATAACAAACCCGACAAACCCTAACCCCAAACCCTAAACCCCAAACCCTAAACCCTATACACCCTAAACCCTAAGCCCTAAGCCCAGGCTGCCGAATTTTTCCAGGGCAGCTGATCCTGCCCCCTGTGTCACGTGCCAGTTGCTCTTGCTTGGAGGTCCATGGTACTTATTAACCAATTATAAACTGTACTTGTTAGGGTTTAGGGTTTAGGGTTTAGGGTTTAGGGTTTAGGGTTTAGGGTTTAGGGTTTAGGGTTTAGGGTTTAGGGTTTAGGGTTTAGAAGTATAAGTGTACTTCTAACCATATTTGGGCACTTAAGGAGCTTACAAGTGATTATAAGTACAGTTATGTAAGCTATGACTGGGTAATAAGTACCATGAATCTCCAAGTACAGTTGTAAGCTGCACCGTCAACGGCAAATGCAGGGCTACTTGCGTTTATAGGAGCTTGTGGCGCTTCTAGGGCTTAGAGTGCTTGCGGCTGATTCTGGGCTCTCTCTTCAAGCTTCGGGGAAGCCGACATAAGGCTTGCATCGAAGGGGCTAGAAAACATGGGGTTTAGGGTTTAGGTTTGGGTTTTAGGGGGTTTATTGGATATCCTTCGACCGCCGAGAGAGGAATCGCAAACCAGGGCCGTAGAGGGCTTTCCCGCGACTTGGATCACGAGCCGCAACGGAAGAAGGAAACCCTAAACCCTAAACCCTAAACCCCAAACCCCAAACCCTAAACCCTAGGAAGGAAACCCCAAACCCAAACCCCAATCGGGAAACGGGGGGGTGCGCATGGAAACTGCTTCGGATGCTCGTCCCGTGCGGGGTGAGGCCTCGCTGGCCAAAGCACGAGTTGGGCTGTTGCTTGGGCGGGTGCCGAACAGGGTTTAGGGTTTAGGGTTTAGGGTTTAGGGTTTAGGAACGGGGTTTAGGCGAATTAGCCATGTTTTGGGGGGGTTTTTTGAGAAACAAATAGCATAAAGAGGTATCGAATGTGGCACGCGAATGCTCAGCAAGCTGCAGTGACAGTCCTTACACTTTGATTGCAAGTCATATGCCCTCAAAGGCGATGTAAACTGCAGAACAGAAGAATTAACAAAGCGTCAAAGAATCGTGAACGACTAGCGCTATGGCGTCGTGCTCTTCGTCGGAAACGCGGACAGAAGGGCAAAAAGAGCTTCAGCATCGGGCACTGTCAGAATGCTGAATTTGCAGCTACAGTCTGTTGTAGATCTTATTTCGGAGCTTCACGGGCATAATTTACCCTTCTTCCAAATGCCTCAGGCACATTTCCCGACCCTAATCCCCTAACAGTTCGTGTCGAAGCCTGGCCGGCCGAGACGGGGTCGTAGCTTCAAAATTACACTTCTTGACTGGAACTTGGGACCTCTTTGCACTTTGCAGTCATCTTGCAACCCGCAAAATCAGAACAACATGTTCATCAACAATATCTGGAGAACCTGAAACTTGTAAGCCCAGGACGGCATGCCGCTACGCTTCTTCCGGCTCTCTGCCGGGATATTCCCGATCACTGAATCGCCGCAGACGGCGCGGCGCATCCGGACTCGGGGCTCGGCAAATCTCGATGCCGATCTCTCCTGGGAGTTTGGGTTTGGGCTTCCGGGAGGGTTTAGGGTTTAGGGTTTAGGCTTTAGGGTTTAGCCCTTCGTTTTACAATTACAGGATAACAAAGGTGGCAAGGAGTGAATGAATGCACGACGCACGCTCCTTACGAACCTTTCAGAATCTCCCATGCATTCAAGTGTATCACGCGTGCAGCATAAAAAGGCTTCTTGCAGAGTACGAAAAAGGGCCCTTTCAATACATTATTTTTAAGGCCCTGTTTTGCACTATTGTCTTTTATTTGTTCACGCGGGCTTCTTTTCTACTTTTTTGGTGTGCCCGCGAGTGAATATCATTTTCTTACTACCCCGTCCGTCATTAAAGAAGTGATTTACGGGCCAAGAATATTATGACTTAAGTTGTGGCCGCGAGCACCTTACTTCGAATGAATGAGGATAGCATTTTAGCCCTTACATCTAAATTGTTAGAAGCATGAACGAATGTTGGACGGGAATGCAAGACGCATGGCATGTTCACCGTTGGCCCCTCATAATCCACGTTTAACCGTTGTTTGGTCACTAGCTCCTTTTGCACTGGAAATAGGATGTTGTACAAGAGCCAAAAAAAGTCTTGATTATACATGCAAGCAAAACAAGTGAAGGAAACTATCTTACTTGGGGGTATCTACAAGACAGTTATTGAATCACTCCTTTAAAATCTATGTTACAAGGACGTGCCGCATCAAGGAAACCCAACAGGCCCGCGAAAGCAGCAGAAGTAAATATATAAATTAAAACCCCAAACCCGAAACCCTAAACCCTAAGCCCTAACTTGCCGGTACTACAGCTGAGGCAGCTTCCGAAAACCTCCTGCCGTGGGAAGTGCAAGATGGACTCGCCAGAGCCGCGCTGCGGCTGGCTCCCGTCCACGACACACAGGTAACCTGAGTAGTTAGGGTTTAGGGTTTAGGGTTTAGGGTTTAGGGTTTAGGGTTTAGGGTTTAGGGTTTAGGGTTTAGGGTTTAGGGTTTAGGGTTTCGGGACCTTTGCTGCGATGCAACCCCCGGTTTTCGTAACTTGCAAAACTCTCCACAGCTGCAGGATACTTGCAGATTCATGGGTCGTTTTAAACCCCATCTTATGTGTCTACTTCTAACCTCCGTAGATGACTTATAAGGAGGCCCAGAGTGCAGTTCGAGTTGGCGGTTGGGATGTTGCCCTTTTCCTAGCAGTCCTCAATTAGGGATTGTCATGATTAGGGCTTCTACAATTCTAAGTAAGGACTGTTAGTGTCAGGGGCGGACATCCTAAACCCTAAACCCTAAACCCTAAACCCTAAACCCTAAACCCTAAACCCTAAACCCTAAACCCTAAACCCTGAACCAACAACTTGGCGCTTATAAGAACCCCCATGAATCTCCAAGCAGGCCCCCAGAAGAACTCAGGTCGCGGCTGCGGTCCTGGGACCATCAGCGGTCTAGGGTTTAGGGTCTAGGGTTTTTAGGGTTTAGGGTTTAGGGTTTAGGGTTTAGGGTTTAGGATTTAGGGTTTAGGGTTTGGGGTTTAGGATTTAGGGCTCAAGACCTCGGAGGGTTCGGCATTTTTAGGTTGCTTCCCTCCCAACGTGTGTGCGCATTCAGAGACGGTGCTCGCCAGCATCCTGGGACTGGTGGCCCAGATTGTGTTTGACACTAGCTACTGAAACACCTAAGACAAGGAAAGGCTGCAAGTACGCATCGCCGTGAACCCAACACCCTCTCCAAATCAGCTATCAAGTTGCTTCTCGGGCTAATAAGCTCTAGATACCGTAGTTTCTGGTGGAGTTTCTGCTGGAATTTCGCTAATCTCCCACCATCTCACAAAATCCAAATCGAGCCGGGACAACCGCACCGCTCCTAAAGCTGCGAGAACCCCCCCACCCTCTACCCTCGCGAATAGATGGCCTCCAATCCTCTAAGCGGCGACACCCACAAGGATACCTTGACGGAGGAAAAACGTTTAGGGTTTAGGGTTTAGGGCTTAGGGTTTAGGGTTTAGGGTTTAAAAGGCAGAAGGTCTGAAGATCTCGGTGGCGTAACAAAGCATCTTGAACAAAGCCAAGGTTACCGAAGCTCAAGCCAGTGCTGCACCAAGTCCCCGAGCAACATCCACAAAGCCCATGCGCATTCAGGCTCTCTGTCGCTCTCGCTCACATCCCTCTCTCTCTCTCGTTTTCTCTTAGTCCCCCTCCCTCCCCCCTCCCTCCCTCCCCTCCCTCAGTCTCCCTCCCCTCCCTTCCCTTCCCTTCCCTTCCCTTCCCTTCCCTTCCCTTCCCTTCCCTCCCTCCCTCCCTCTCTCTCTCTCTCTCTTGCAACGGCATCTGGGAAACGACGAGTTCACATCCTCAACACACGCTCTCAACCTGGCTGAAAGACATCAAGCACCAAACTGCCAAACAAAGGGCGTGGTCTTTTGGCGCCGACGTATGCCCTCCTGGGAAGAAGGTGACCTGCAGCACTTCCACTGATGCTTGCTGTGCCGTGCCGCAGAAGGCTTAGCTCGAGATTAAGGTTCAAAACGTGTTGTGGCTTCATCTTTCTCGCTGGTCGCGTTCGTGGGCTTGAAGGGTGAAAGGCGTACCTACGCCTTTGCCCCCACTCCAAGCGAGGAGCGCGTTTCTAACCCTAAGCGCTAAACTGCAGCAAGCCCAAGACTCACGGAGCCGGTCAACAAACGTCACACAGACCCCAGCGCGAACGGTCCTGCATCTGTGGGCATTCCTA